TGATGAAATGTCGGAGTGCATTGAAGTCTGTGAAGGAGTTGCATTTTGTAATGTTTTATTGAAGTGATAAAACAATTAAAAGTTGTAAATTATGACCTGATGTTTTGAAACAAGTGGGGAAAATATTTCTCTCAGGTGGAAGACGAAAGATAGTTTCAACAGTAACAAAATGAAATAAAGTATATACATATCACAACTAAGAAAATCAGCTAACTCATGAAAAAGTGGATAGTCTTAGGAAAAGAATTTAGACATGTATGTCTGTTCTATATACATTCCATCACATTTTAGGATTTTTTTCGGGTATCCATAGATAAGTGAATAAAATCTACTTATGATCACACACAACATATTTACATATTTCAATCCACACTTCCCGAAATTCTTCTCCACGGGAATTACATTTTAAAAATTATATTTCAATTGCATTTTACTGGATGTGACTTGTCCACTTATGTGTAGATACAGAAGAGGAGAGTAAATGTTTGATACCATATCTGTTTACTTTTTCTCCTAAATTTGAGACAATGAAAAAAAATATATATATATTGTAATAATAATCAATGAAAGGGGAGAGTAAGAAATTACACTGAAAGATGCATTTTAGTGCTGCGAGATAGCTGCAGACAGCCATGGATTCTCAAATTCCCCAGAAGACCAAGTCAAGAAGGCGCACACTTACCAGGGACAACAAAGAACTACGCAAGCAACAGAGAAAGTAACGCTTAACACTAAGGAAATTGAACACAGATGGAGCCTTGTATCCTGCTGATAACGCTGGAAACAAATCCTGACACTTAAAGTTCTGGAAGATGCATAAACATAAACAGGACATCACTACTATTACTTTATCTAAAAGACTACATCCCCCCCATTTCTATCCCCATTGTTGCCGGGGGAGGGGGGGGTTAAGAGACGGAGACTGGAACCCGATGCTAGTGATCACCCCCGCCTTGAGCCTCAGGACTCGACTCGACCCGCAAATGACCTTAGACGCGGCAAATGATTTTAAGTAAACAATCCCTCGACTCGACTAATTTTGCACGGTCTTTTCTTCTACCCTTTTCGTTTCTTCCTCTCCTCCAACCCCTTCTACTATCAAATTCCTGAAGTGTAAGAGCCGTGTTCAAAGGCTGACTTTGTGCTAGTCATCAACCACCTGGGGGAACCATGGGCACGGTATTCCCCTTTTTAGTCGTCTACACCAAGCCAAGCCAAGACTCGTAGAGACCCTGAGGGATGGACCATTTCTCTCGACATGCTCCACGCTTAATATGACCAGTAATGAAGACCACCCTTGCTGAGGACACTAAGGCTTGCCCCTTTGTCAAATAGCCCCATAGATTTAAATTCTCCCGATTCCCTGATACCAGGCTCCTTTGACCACGACTCTGAATACTATCCCTCCTCAGTACGGACTATCCCCTCAGTCCAGGCTAAACCATCCACACAGATCATTACTCAACCTCCAATAAACATTCCTCCTCTACCAGCAATTACTTTTTTCATCTACCCCCCTTACTACTCTGATAATGCTAATGCACTGCATTATCATGTACGTGTGCCAATTGTGGTACTCCCCATATGTATTTTATAGGGGCTGCCCTACTTACAAGTCTGAGTCTATGGTGGCAACTCGTAGATTCAAACTTGGCCTCACGTAAAGGAAGCACGCAGAAGAGATTTTTCTCTTGCTCTCTTGCTTTACCCCTTTCAATACCATAATATGCTGGACTGTTATACGACTTAAACGTGTAGAACATTTAATCATCAACCAACCCCCTTTTTACCCTGTTTCACCTTTCTATTGTGCTAAATTACCACCACTGATATCTAGCGCATTTCTTTGGCTTTGTAACCATCAACCATTAAAAGACTGCATTAACACCCAACAGGCGTTTTTGTGAAACAAACCCTAGCGTTTCCAGAACACAGTCCACATACATTCAACACTCATTCACAAATCACAAATGAACGTCGAATATGTGAAACAAACCCTAACGTATCATCCCTCTCCTCGACGGTATACACAACTTACCCTTGACTTCAGCACGTACCCTCTGCTTTTCCACACTTATCCTCCCTTCATCTTTACAGAATCCCACAGCTTCAGCCTTGACAACCTGTTCTCCTTCCTCAGACGCATAAATACCCTTCACTTGATCTAGCTTTCTTACCTAAACCACCATAACCCTTTCACTCATCAACCCTTTCCCATCTCCAACCTTTCAACACTACTGTAGATAGGTGACACACAGCAACTATCACCTGACATCCCCCTTTACTATACCTTCCTATAGTGCTATATTACCTTAGATGTCTAGCACATTTATTTTAACCATTAACCATTATCCTTGACTTTTAACATGAACAAAACACACAGGCCAGCGGACAGCCATCCCCCATCTTAAACCAACGCCTTGCCTCACATGACAGGGTTTTCGGTCTAAATGGTAATACAATTCTAAAAACGCGATAATTCCACATGCGGTGTCTAACGGGTTTACCCTATTTTACATGACTGCCAAAACCTTCGACAAAACCCTGCATAAAAGACCAATGTTTAAATTATTATAGTATGAAATGACTTCACTGGATCTCTACTGGTATCACATGTTAGACTGCCGTAATTCCTCTGTTTATGAATGACTTTTCCCTATTTACTCATAATTATTCTAGTAGCCTTTGTCAATATCGGTTTCCCTCTTAGATCAACCAAAAGAACTGATGCCTTAACTTCTATAAAAATGACCTAGAGGAAATGGATACACAGACCGATGAATGTGAAAAAAGAAGGAATATTTAGATACCATTGACTCATTCCCGACTCTCGTTACTCCCATGAATCGGGACAGAAATGCAGAATACTTTAGGTCTAATTACATCCTTCCTTCATATTCTCTAAATCAATCGCAAAGCTAATCATACAAAAGGGTTTTCGAGGAGCACCTATGTAACTGTTAATCCCGATTTTTTTCTTTAATTATACTTAACTGTTACTTGACCACTCCAGCTGTTAGCCCCTTGTTCGAAACTGACGTATCGAATTACTGAAAGTTTAATTCAATAAAATGCTGTTCTGTGATTTGGTTCGATGTTACACATCAAAAAGACTTCCATTCAAGTTACAGTAAGTACAAGAAACTCAATGATAAACAATAGATGAACAATGTTTAATCTTTACGGCTTCTTGCGGACTCGTGTACAGTCTAACAACAATAAATTCCAACAAGTAAACACCAGCAGGATTTATAAAATACATTGCAAACAACATGCAGAGCAGCTGTTAAACAAATAGGACAACCCAGAGTCTGGAGTGCGGACTGTTAGTCCTGCATAATGGGACGTGGAAAGTCTAACAACAATAAATTCAACAAGTAAACACCAGCAGGATTTATAAAATCATGCATAAAATGACGTTTTGTAGAAATAAAAACGGTTATGCGTACACCTTAACAACACAGAAGCACCCTAACCTTACAAATGCATAGATATGCCACATAACACACTAATAAGACTCCCACACACCATTCCTACACCCTTTTCGATGAATACAGACATACAGAAAGAAAGAAAAGGGTATATTCAGAACTTAGAAGTATATCTAATAATAATAAATAATGATATCTGCCTCTGAGTATTCTGAATGCAGTATTAAGTGACCGACACGGCTCCAAAAGCTCTAACCTTACTAAGAGAGAAAAAATGGTGTGAGATCAATAAACTATAAAAATATATATCTTATCATTTTGTTATCCTTCTGATATTTTTTTCAGCACCCCTCTTTTGCAAAATCGTTCTCTAGTTCAGACCATGGTCCAAGCTACGTTAATGTTCACAGGGCAAATGAACACTTTCAGTATATGATTTATTTAATGTTTTATAGGATTTTTTTTTCTTTTTTTTTACCTGAGATGAAACAGATGTATAAATATATCACATAACACACTGATAAGACTCCCACACACCATTCCTGTACTTTTCGACCACTAAAAACAAATTATTATAAAAGTGAAGGCCATATGATGCCAAGTGCAAATACCGAATTTTTGTAAATTATTTATCAATCAAAATAATAATTACAACTTTTGCACTTTAAAGATACTCTTTGCTTATTCATTTATATTTTTTATATCATGTTTAATCTTCAAGTGATTATTCAACTTTGAACTCCTGGTATCTTATAGTAATACCGTATGAACTAATATTACCTTGATCAAGACTGCCCAGTTTCAGTTTGTGCATAAGTAATTTCTTGCATGTTAATTCTATTATAGGTGTATGAGATTGAATTTGTTTTTATAGTATTTATATGAACTAAATGCAGAATAAAGCGGGATTTTGAAATAAATCTAATCTAAAGTAGCCCAGCCGACTTCAGTAGTCTAGCCATATCATTCTTAACGTCATATATCCTATCCTAATCCATTCCATTTTATCCTAACCCACCCTCTTCGCTCCTGTATCATCTTCTCGCCTCACTTATCTCTTTTCTCTTCTTTTCCTCGCATCTTTTTGGCACATCCTTTATTCCTTATAATAGTTTACCCTGAATAATAATAGAAAACGGAACCTTGAGACCACAAACTATAGTATAATTTCAACTTATCTTTTCATAATCGTATCCATTTATATAAGCTTACGCTTCTTACGGCTAATGAAGAAAGATATTATGAAACAATAGCCTTATCCTAATTTTTACTAAGGATTTTAATAATTACCTAATGATATTTATATACAACATCCCTGACTTGTTACACGGTGAAGATAACCGCTGGTTACCTATATAGCTAATAGAAAGAATTTAGTGATTACTTTTACTAATTTAATCTTATAAATAAGTTTTTACTCTGAAATATATCACAAAAATGTATCTGTGTGAAATGAATAAGCATCTATGACACGTAAAAAAAAAACAGTATTATTATCCCTTACCCCCCCCCCCCCCATCATCCCGAATAACTACTTAACATTTCTCTCACTAGGAAACACAAATTCATATTCCGAAAAATATTTTACACAACATTATAATTTTTTTCCTTCAGTAAAATAACCAGTGTCGTGTATATGTAAAAAAAATAATACTGTTGTTTTGACCGGCTGGGAATCATGGCGGCGAGGAAACTGGTGAGCAAAATATTGGAGATTTTTTCCTCATTTCTCGGGTTTAAGACTGCATAATTAATGCTGGATGTCATATTTAAGATTGGGAACTATTGTAGTTTCCCTGAAATGTGTTTTTTTAGTGTTTTTAGTTTAATGGAGTAGTAGAAAGGGGGATATTTCATGCGTAACTAAAGATCCATTTCTCTTTTCTTTAAATTCCATATAAATGATAAACATACATTTCCAGAAAGTCAAAACCATATAAAAGATGTGTAATTTCCCATAACTGAAACACATTAATATAGATATATAGCTTACACCATAAAGTTCATTTAGCAAAAACGATCAATTTCTCGTCAACGAAACTTCAAAATCTGCTCATTCAATGTAAATCAAAATAATTGTCCAGTTTTCTAAGGAGGTAACATTCGAAATTCTGCTGAAAGGGATTCTATTAATTACACCTCGTACTAGGTCAAAGGTCAGCAAACCTTCTCCATGAATATTCCGCAGGATCGACCTTGCAACAGGAACAACGAAGGGAAGAATGAGAAAATATACGAAATATACCGTATTTGCGCGTTTTCTTCTTCTTTCCTCCGTTGTTCCTGTTGCAATTTGTTTGTCGTGAACTCTACACTGGAAAAGCATCGTTTCTCACCAGTGTTCTATCCCGGAACCAAACTGTAGAGTTTGGTCAAAAGTTATTTGGTCAAATTCTGTCCGCGCAAATGTAGTTCTAGGGCAACTTTCCATGCACCTTAGATTAGTTATTTTTTAAAATCTTCTTCCGGGCTTAAAATTCTTTTGACCTTTCCGTGCACTTGTTTCATCATCCGTCCGCAGATCCGTCTGTGCAAATGTAGACAAAATGTCGTTTTCCGCACATGAAATTTTTTTATGTTCCCCGCGCAAGAAATATACATTACAATCTGGTCACTAAATGGCTGGTGAGCCTTTAAACTTTGCAGCTGGCAAATGAAAGTGTGAAACGCACAATGCGCAGATAATTCTAAATAAGTGTAAAGATAAATCTTAAATCACAAAAATGAAGTATAACAACATTAATAAAAGATTTTAAAAGCATGTGTAACAGCAGACACTGATAATTAGCCAAATATTGTTTTGACAAGTGTGTAGTAACACATGAACTACCTTGGATATCGCAGTAATGAGTTAAACGGTCAGTGTTTTGTTACTCCTGACAAGGTATAGATTCGGGACTTAGAATCTGAGTGGTGATATGCAAGGTATATTTTTGTCATTTAGGGGTGACTATGAGGCCACTGCTGCTTAAGCTATGTTATCCTATTCTATTTCTTCCACTCTGTAAGATGGTGGTGTCCATTTCCCTCTATCTACGTGCGTCACTCTAAGTAACTTATACCATGTTACAATTTAATTATGTGTTTTAAGATTTATCTCTGCAGTTCTTTAGAATGACTTGCACGTTGCATGTTTGAGACTTTCAGTGACCACCTGTGAGGTTTGACAGCTCACCGGCCTTTCTGTAATAGAAGGCTGCGTTGCGTTGATTCTGGGTTGTTATTAAGATTATACAGTGGCAACAAAGAAGAAATACTTTTGTTAATTATCCCAATTTGATATCTATGCCCATCAAGAGCCCCAAATGCCTAAAAAAAGTTATTAAAAACAAAGCAATCCAGACTGTAGAAAGAAGCTAATAATAGTTTGACATTTCCAGACATGTAATGTACTTATACACATTACATTCCACATTTGTTTATTAATAGGAATAATGCTAAAGCCCCTTTCTAAGTGCCAAATGAGTTGAATCACACTCTAAGAGGTTTGTGCACTCGTGGCAAGTCTTTTCTCTCACCCTGGCCTGTGCTTATGACGGCAAAGTCGCATCAACTAGCCCTTGGCCATTTTGCCTGATGATGGCATGTTCACTTCACTCTGTCCTCGAACCAGATTTTTCAATGGAGGGACAGTAACGTCATTCAGATCATAGGGGTTAATTAGAATCCTAACATTGTAGTTGCAAAATATGGTAATTCTTTACCATATGGATGCACTAACCAGAGACCAACGGCCAGTTTGCTAAAATTGTGCGAGGCCCAATGCCGTTAATATTTACATCTATATGGACATGCATATACATAGAAATAAATGCTCTTTTGTTTATCTGATAGATATCTACTAGACAGACAGATAGATAAATGTATATCTGTAGCTTCTGCTTAAAAGTACTAAGAAGAATAATGGCTTAATTTTATCAGTTGTAATGAGATTGTAATATAAACCAATTCTTGTAAAGTCTTATATTGTCCATTTGTTGTCATGTATATTTTTCATTAGGGATAAATAAATAGCCATTTTTTAGTAACAAAAATGCTTGTTTGTAGAAGAGAGAAAAGAGAGAAAGGAAAAGATTAAGGAGAAAAAAAATGAAAGTGCTAAATTTGAAACATGTCTGGCCATTGCCAATCACATTATGAAAATTTAATTTACTTGTTAATTACTTGGAATATCTTGGAGTACCTTTCAGGACATAGTTGACTCTATGTATTATATGAAATGCAAAGAGTTAGATGACAGACTTCTTCCTCATACATCTTACCATAAAATCATTTTTTTTTTCAGAAACCAGCAAATGTGCATCATTCCTTTTTCTAGAAAAATTTCTGAAGCTTTCCCCCTTTTTCAGATGCTCTCTTTTGTTTGTTTATTATTATTTTTTACAGTATGTTGACAGTATTTTGTGTCACAATTGCCAGGTGGTATTTTTTCAGTAAATTCCAATCATCATCATCATCAACAATCATCATCAACAATCATCAGTCATCAATCATCAATCATCATCATCAATCATCATCATCAATCATCAATCATCATTATTCTAATAATATTGTGTATCATCAGTGGCCAGGTGACATTATCTCAATAAATGCCAGTTTTGCACTTTCGCGGATTTGTGAAAACACTAACAAATTGATATCGCATACATGACAATTTTATTTCTTTCAGACGACTGGATTGACTGGTTTGGCTGTGGCTACCAGTCCGCATCATACATTGGGTGTTCTTTATGGCAAGATCCTGAGATGTCTGCAGAAAATGCCATCTGATTCTGCCTACCGGCGATACACAGAGCAGATTATAAGCGATAGGAACAATCATGTGAAAACGGTACGTGAGCTTTGTGAGAGTTTGAGTTATATCTATAATACACATATTCAATATGTCTTTGATAAGGCAGTGAGTGGAATTTGTATGTGGATAATGACAGCAAAAAGGTAATTTATTAGTTGAGTTCATCCTACCAGAATATGGGTTGCTGGTCTGTTCACCAGGTTGTCTTGCTTGTGGGTCTTTTGAACTCTCATTGAATATATTGTCATCTGGGTTGTTTTTCCTGGTAAAATGTTTTGCTTGTATGGAGGTGGGTCATTGGAATAAAAATTCTAACACCTAGGTAAATTTACTGAAAATTAAATGCCACCTATCACCGGGAAACAGATGTTAGGTGGCATTTAAAGGCAAAAGTAACTGAGAGCAACATGATTATATATCTTGCCTTGGAATTTAAACTTTACAGAATTGTCTTTTTTTTTTTTTTTTTTTTTTTTTGTCTGTGTGGAATTTCACTTAAACATTTTTAGAAATGGAAAGCTTAGCAGATATTGATGGTTGAAACATCAGTATTGTTTACGACCACAATTACATAATATAATCAAGTAATTTTATAATAACATTTGTTGATATCTATATATAATATGTGTTCTGTTGGTGGGGTGGGGTGGGTGGAGTGGGGTGGGTTGGGTGGCATGGAGTGGAGGAGTGGGGTGGGGTGGAGTGGAGTGGGGTGGGGTGGGGTGGGTTGGAGTGGGGTGGGTTGGAGTGGAGTGGGGTGGGGTGGGTGGGTTGGAGTGGAGTGGGGTGGGGTGGGGTGGGTGGGGTGGGTGGGGGGTGGGGTAGTGGGTTGGAGTGGTGGGGTGGGTTGGGATGGAGTGGTTGGGTGGGTGTGGGTGGGGGTTGGGGTGGGTTGGGTTGGGGTGGAGTGGTGGGGTGGAGTGGAGTGGGGTCACAAGACTTACACAATGATTGCTTTGTGGCTAAGCACTTGCAGACACACTTCAGAAAACAATGCTACAGTGAACACACATTTTCTTGGCAACGGTTGGTTAAATGGAGATTTATGGATAGTTTTTCAATTAAAACTGTCCCAACCTTTGTAATACCAGATTACATTTTTTTTTTGCATGAACTTAAAATCTTTTCCATTTATTTGTTTATTGAAAATATTCTGAAGGCTGTTCAGGACAGTCAGGAAGTCAGTCTTTCATTTATAATGCAAAATTAGTTGGTGATGGCTGAGGTCCAAGGTAACCTCTACATTGGGCCTCAGTCTCCATCGCCTAAGCCTCCCCAGGACAATAACAAGCAAGGGATTAGTCCCCTCCCACCCCCTTTCTTTCATACAACCCTCCCTTTTTTTTAATACCTTACTAGCAAAGTTGGAGCCATTTATAATGGAAAAAAAAAGTATTAGAAATGCAGTAGAAGCTCAAAGCCATTGCACAACCGCACTGCATAATGATTTCACTCATTATAAGTCGTCAAATTACCGGATATTTTTTTTTTTTTTTTTGTTTTTTTTATTATTATACTTGTTTGTAGTCTGCTGCAGTTTGTGTAATGGCATTGTATTATTGTTCTTATTTATACTGTTATGATTTTTATCCTTGCGCTTTTCTTTTTATTTTATTTTTTTACTATAAGATAGTTGTTTAATTCGAAAATCCTCTCATGCGTTTCATTATCCACAGGAGCCGGATGTGACAAAATTGGAGAAAGCAATCAATGCAGGCCAAATTGAGGAAGTTATAGTGCAAGCCGAGAAGGAGCTGTCCTTGGCACGAAAGATGTTGGAGTGGAAGGCGTGGGAGCCTCTTGCCCAGGAGCCCCCAAAGGGACAGTGGCAGTGGCCCATTAAATAAAAAGTTCCTGCCAGAATATTTACCTTTGGTTGTACTTGGTAGATTTGGATATCATAGTGTGGAGCTTTTGAATGTACATTTTACCTGCTATCTGTAAATATTTATTTTTCCCAGAGTTAAATTGTGAAGATCATGATTGATATGCTGTATTGAGCTGGCTTTAGATGGATGAAATTAATTATAATACACAGTATGCATATATTTCTTGTATCATTTAACCATAATACTAAATTTTTTTGTGTGTTTGAAACTGTTTAGTGCATTTGAAAGTTTTATATATTTTGGATCTGTATTTGCCGTTGCTGAAAGTGCGGCATCTTGAGACTCACAAGACATACTTATAATTGCTTGTAGTTCACTTTACAGAAAGATTTGGTGTAAGTGAATGTTTCGTATTTGTATAAGTGAGAACTGTAAATGATGAAATGAAAAGTAGAGATATCACATCTGATTATTATTTAGAATTTTGTTTTATTATGTGAACCATAATTTAAATTTTTTGGTTTTGTGAAAACTATTGTTGATGTTTAGAAAATAAATCCATGGCACTATTATCAAGTTATAACCCTATTAACCTTGAAGGGTCAGTAACCATGAGATCCAGATGCTGGTCAGGCCAGCACAAATTCATGTAATAAAAGTGACTTACAAGCCATTTTTTTGAGCTATATCTGTGATAACTTCGACCAAAAAACCAAACATTTACCCCCAAAAAATCAGAACCAATTGAGGAGTTGAAGTTGATAATAGACATTTTATACACATTCAATTTCAGTCTTAAAATTTGATCTGGGATGGGAATAAGATTAGTGACTTGGGAGTTACAGTACTGGTTTACTAGCCAATCGATTTTTATTAATTGAGACTTTGAGCCTGACAATCACCCAATGCAATGTTTCTCCAGCATGTTATGTAGAGCATTAGTCAGGTCTGAAGAATAGGAATCTATTTTCTATAAAAAAGAAACAACCAATAAAATGATTTTCTTTCTTAGAAAGAGGACATTGAATTTATGGCTTTTGCCTTATCTTCGAGTGATCAGTTGGTGTTAACAAGCATAATTCCTATATACTTGATATTCTGGAAACCAAAATGACACTTGCTTATGCCGACCATCAATCCATGGAGTTGAAGTCTGCCCAGTAAGAGCGAGAGCCTGCAAATGTTGAGACCAGTTAGAGGTAAGAACAGGTAAGTTGTCAAAATAACATGGTCAGCAAGACCATCACTAACTTTTCTCATAAATCTGATAAAGTAGCACAGGCAATTTTGAGACTAAGGGCATCCTCTTAAAATGAAACAGGCCCTTGATTTAGCTAAGTGATGTACAATTTTGATTTTCTTTTGACAATAGAATTTGCCTTTGGCGAGACCAAGTAAAAAAAAACATTGGAAAAAATCCTAAAACTTCTATGAGTTCTCAGTAGAATAATTATTGTCAAGAAAAAGTGGGATTCTGTAAGGATTTCCCTTGGGTATGGTAAGAATTAGCAAAAAGAGAAAGGGAGGTTTTAAGACCTGAAACTCCTCTGTTCAAATCGCTCTTAAATTACAACAACAACGAGCAAGGTATTGGGAGGGGGATGATGCAGATGAAGTAGGGGGAAATGAAATGTGTTAAGAGGGAGTAGGAGGTGGGAGGAAGGGATGTCGGGGGAACACGAGTTCATGAGGGTGAATGGATCTCGGCAGTCACTTTGAGTGTAGAGGGAATGGGAGCAGAGAGATTTGAGATTGGATGAGGCGAAGGCATGTTATCTTGGGTCATTAGTTAGTTTTGAATTCCATCGACAGTTTCTGAAGTTGTGGAGGTCTGAGAAACGATGGTTTTCTTGTGAGGGAAACAAGAAGAGGCAGACGTTTGAGGGGCGGAGGAAGAGGCTGATGTAGGAGAGGATGCGGTAGATGTGGTGGAACGTTTAGCTTGTCTAATGCGATGAGTCAAGCAAAGAGGATTGGAAAGTCCCGCGAAGGAGTTGTAGTGTCTGTATGGATTTAGAATAGTGGTAGAGATTGGAGTGTCTGGATTTAGGCTGCGTTTACACCGAGCAAGTCGCGTCAAGTCAACATAATTCATTAAACATCATGAATTGCCACCTCATTTTTAACACTGATATGTATGGATTTTTGAAAAAAAAAAAAAAACAATAAAACGGATGCTTCGAGTCACGTCACGTCCTGTCGCGTCGCTTCTAATCACATAAAGGGCTGAGCCTATTTTTGACGTCACAGCGAGTCTGCCGTGGTGTCTTCAAGAAGTGACAACTACGGACAGTATAATGAACAGTACTTAAATCTCTGAGAAGTAATTTAGATATTTTTTTCACTCACCATCAAGGATAAGTTACTGCCATCAGCTCACCAATTTACTATTACCGTACGTGTAATGATTTTTGTAACGCTCAATAAAAATACCTTAAACAAATAGCCCTTCTTTCTTCAGTCCCAACTGCACGCCTGTAGTTAGTGTTGATTTTCCAAATGGAAGGATAAGCCAACTCCATCAGCTTCTTAAGATTTTAATTTATCATGAAAAAGTTGTAAAAAAGTTTTTGGATGGTTTACCAGGTCTGGGAATAAGTGACAAACTAACGAAATCTGGCCTTTTGGTGTTCAGATAATGCATCCAGATTCGAATTTAATTTTTACGTCTGTGACGAACAAGCCAGAGCAAAACAGTTACTTTAGCAAGAGAATATGCGTCAATTCTCTCTGAAATCAAATGGATCACTGTGTAGTGACGTACCTCGGGTTGACGCAGTCGGTGTAAACGGAGATGCATCAAAATTAATTGCATCAAATGACGACGCGACTCGCTCGGTGTAAACGCACGGAAATACTTGGCAGGGTGGCCTACACGCCGACATTTCTAAGGTAGGGACTCTCCGCCAATATAAACATCACGGGGAGGTCACGTCTACGGAAAGTAATCGTGGCGATTTTTGTGGAGGACACACGACGACCTGTAGGGGGAATGGAGTAGCTTTGTACTGATACTGCATCATAATCAACGAGGCAAGGAAGTGTCTTCTCCACAGTCTGACCAATCCTTGTAGACAGGGCAGTCTAATGGGAAGGTGGAGACAATTCCGGTGCAGGTACTGAGAGAGGGAAGAGGCATTAGTCATTAGATAATGCTTTTGCTTGGGATTCGGATGTAATTAACAAGGTAACTAACTGCCTACTTATTTTTGGAGGCATTGTTGAAAGAGGAGAGTTTTGTCAGAGTAAGGGACTGTAGAGGGGATCACTGACCCCATTTAGCTGGGCAAAATAGTACTCAAAAGGTTTGTGGAGGTGGGGGTAGGAGAAGGTCGGGGCCTTGTGGAAGAGGGGGTGGTGTTGGGTTTAGCACTCCGGAGAGGTGGGTAATAGGACTGAATAGAAGTAATAAAGGAGGAGGTAGTAGATGAAGAAGACTGTGGAGATGGAGAAGATAGAGTGGAGGATGTTGAGAGAGGAATATTTCGTGGAGGCTGAACAATGACCTAGGTAGGTGACTTGGATTGGACTGAGGTGACAAAAGTAGGCATTGTGGTGGTAGTAGTAGGTCAACGGAGGGCCTGGAATCAGGAAAGGGGGGGATGTATTGTGGTAGTTGATAAAAGGGGGTAAGCTTTAATGTCCCTCATCAAAGATAGAAGATTTTCATTACAGGCCATGGTAAGTCTACAGCACGGACGTCAAATTTATCCCGAGAGCCAAACATGGCACTCGGGATGGTCACAAGTGGCTTGCGGGATGACAAGAATAATAATCAGCCTTGATAATTAGGATCACTATGATGGAAAATAATGTCAAATACATTGTTAACAAGCCCCCCCCCCCGTTCCCTATCCTTTATTAGCACTTCTACAAATTAGTTATACAAATATTTGACACATACGTCAGTCAGACGAGCTGCGGCGAGGACGAACTGATGTAATCTTTCGCTTTCCTCCGGGTTTGCCATTAGGAAAACAGCCCTGGTCAAATACCCGACGAAATCGCAAGTCCTCCTGCCGAAGCGGGGCACTTTGGCCTCCCTCCATTTGCGCTCGATCGTATTTGTGTGGGCTCTGTCAGGGTCAACAAAATTATGTGAATGATTCAGTTCATTGCTGATAACCCTCTTTTTCCAAACAGTTGAATGCCTTCCAACAATCAATGATGGCCGTGGTTTCTGGGTGGATACGTTCTTTAATGATTTTCTCCAAAAGCCCACTTGATCTTCAATATGTCAACCTACGTTTTATTTTCTATTTCCAAATTTTGATTCGTGAATTTCGACAATACCCCATGGCCCACCCATTTTGTCAGTTGTTCTTAAAAAGTGATATTTTATATTGCTTCTAAATTTCCGATTAAGATTTGTCACACCGAAAGGAATAGATGATGTCCAATCACCATTCACTGTCGCATTTGGGGCACATGAATGATTTTAAAATGAGGCCATGCGAACAGCATGAGGCCTGGCCACCATACCGTTGCCAAAATTGCCCGTGCATACTATGAAAAGAAAAAAAAACAATAACTGTAATTATCGATTATCATAAATGAGACACGAAATGATAAAATAAATATCAAAACATGAAAGAAAACTTCTCCCATGTCACACTGACCACAGAAATCTGAAGGTTCTGCCATGGCAAGAGTTTAAACGCAAGTGTAGAGGTGACTGACAGGGTAGCGCATCAGGAGAGGAATCTTTGGCGGATTCTCAAGGGCGAGTCATTGTCCCCAGTGCAGGTAAGGTCATCAGGAAGGTAAGTGTTCAGTGAAAGAGCTACAGGAACTCGCTTTCACTCAGGTCATTCACATCACCATGCTCTAATGACCTTTGCTGACCGTAAAGATTAATCTGCAAATTCTTTGAACACTTTGCAAGTACGGAAGAATATCCACTTCCTGAGGTAATCTTCCTAGACGTGTACAGGTTTGCCTTGTCGAGCCTTTAACAAAAGCAGGGATGGTGGAAAGCCAGTGCTCGCCCGAGCAGGTCCAATCGTCAAATGGACGACGGATATTAAAAGAAATCGCGCATGCGCGTGATTGGGGATGGGACTTGCACCAAGGCGAACAGTTGTTTGTGCTTAAACAAGCAAATTGCTGGAAAACCAATCTTTCTATTTAAACAACCCCTTCATACTATAAAAAGCAGTTATACATTTACACACACAAACATTATATATGTGTGTGTGTATATATATATATATATATAT